TTAAGTTCAATAATGGAGTAATTTATATTTGATTTAATAATATAATTTTCTTATAAAAATAATAGTTAATTATTTTATTAGAACTCGATATTATCCTAATTATATTTTAAATTTTTTATATTTTAAAATGAGATGTTTATCTTCTATTTGATTATGTTTATCCGCAATTAGTTACACGAATTCAAACATGGAGCTTTAATAAGTTGTATTATGTATAATTTACTTGTAATCTTGAATTTTAAGTAATATGCATCAATATACAGTATTTCATGCATAAAAAATGGTTTTTAAGAGTTTTTGTCAAATGTTTTATAATATAACTAGAAGGGTACTCGCACAATGCAGCGAAATATATCTCGATTTTAGTGTTTCGTTCTTTTTTTGTTTCAGTTGATGTTATAATACGGTTTATGTGGTTTTGAGAAAAGGATAATGCTTTTAGTTTTGAATAGAATACTAATATTCATATTCATAAAATATTGAAAAAAAAAGTGATATTAGTATCAAATTAACTATTTAAATTTGTTCTTTTTTTTTGTGTATTTCTTTAACTCATTTTTTTTATTTTTTGTTTAATAATATAATTTTTTATAAAGATAATAATTATGTATTTTGTTGGAACTCAATGATTACCATAATTATAATTTAGATTTTTTTATATTTAAAATGAGATGTTTATCCTCTATTTGATTATTTTTATCTGCAGTTAGTTACAAGAATTCAAACATGAAGCTTTAATAATTTATGTCTACGCACAATTTACTTGTATTCTTAAACTTTAAGTAATATGCAATAATAAACAGTACTTCATGTTTAAAAAATGGTTTTTAAGAGTTTTTGTCAAATGCTTTATAATCTATACTATCTTATAATGCATTTGGCTAAAACTCTTAAAAACAACTTACATTGCTTTAGGTACAACCTACTAAAGCATATTATCCTAAACCCCCCATTCCTAAACCCAATCCCATTTTTTATCGCAACCCTAATCCTAATCCCAATCCCATTTTATCGCCCCTAACCAATTCGA